GAAATTAGAAATTTTGTTGTAAATCTAAATGAACTTCATTAAGATATGCTGTGAAGCATGCATTCTGCCTCAAATTGAGAAAGCAAGCAGAAAGCCTTGGCTTGTGTGTGGTTCACATAGGCTTCAGCATTGTAGAGCTCTTGTACACCAGAAGCCCAAAGAGCTTGTGCTTAGTAGGATGTTTTTACATTTATATGCCATAGAACCAAAAATTTAACTCACTAAAAAACAAATGAGCTGAAGATTTAAAGTGTTACTGATGACTGCTTAGTTTCTGTAACTTGTTCTTCACCTGCCCTAGTTAAGAGATGAAGCACGATTGCTTAATTCTCCCTCAGAATGAGTTACATTAACACAGTTTTATTCTTTGGGTGAGAGCCTCATGCCGTGACTCAGCTGGTGAGTTCACTGTTTTAACATGATCCTACACAAGATCTTGCTGCACTAGGGGCCCATGCTGGCAAGCTTTTGTGCATGAAGGAAACTAAAGTGACCAAGTGCACTTTAGTTTACATCAGTGCAAACTTTTGGGTGTGTTCTTTTGTGAAGTCCTTGTGGTTAAGTTTCTTCTCAAGGAGCTTTCTAAGGAAAAGCACTTTGTCATTTTCCATTTTGGTATTTGTGTTATAAATCATCTTTTGACTGGTTTCTCCTTTGTGATTCCCGTCTGAAATTTTACTCCTATCATATACTTTAAGAATCATCTCAAAATGGTTTTCTTTATCCTCTGGAAATTCAATTCTTTATATCCCTCGGGGTCAGTAACACTGTTAACCTATTAACAGCCATCCTCAGACAGGAATTGGTAAATAGTTTGAGCTATTCCAACTTGACAGTGTACAGACTGATTTTATTTCGTATATATTTTTGAAACAGCTAGCAGAAGTCTCGGAAAAATAATGAATTAGTAGAACTGGTTTGCACTTAACTCTTCTATAATTTATCAGTGATTAGATAAAATAATCTATCAATGGTATTTTATTTATTTGGAAATCTAAGACAGTTTGATGGATGTTTTATTTCTAAAATTAGGAACCGAGACTCCATAATCATACGTTTTGGGTTCAGTGAATTATTAAAATGGAATTGAATAAAAAATTTTCTTTTCTTCCCATAGTCTAATTTTTCATCCATCCATTTTTTCTCTTTTCTGTTCTCATTTTAAATTCTGGTTTCCAGAAGAATAAGAAAGAAAATGTGCAATTCTTTCTGTTCCTACAACTTTAAATATGAATATTTCTGTCAGTCTTTTTTTTTTTTTTTCTTTTCTTCATTGTATGCTTGAAACATTATTAAACATTTTCAGCTAATGGATCGTATTTGTAGAAGGAAATACAGTTGTTTAATCTTTTCAAGTTTTTAAAGTAAAAAAAAAGTCCTTTCAAAATCAGATCCATGTTTGGTATTTCTAAGTGAGGAAATCCCTCATGATTCTGGCACCTGTGGAAGAGGTGGAATCCACATAATACTGTTTTTAACAGATTTTGTCAGTACTTTGTCCTACTTTTTATTTTTCCCCTCCTAGAATCACAAGGATAGAGAGAATTACATTTTCTATGTAACGGTGTGTCACAGTTCTGGCCCAATTCATCCCAGTTCTGTGACTAATGGAGCAGAGGGACCCATGGACCCATGCCCTGGGACAGGGGGGAAAGGGGAATGAGAGGGAAAAGGTAGGGAGATGGGCCTAAAAACAAAGCAGCAACGACAAGCTAAGGGAGAAAATTAATTTACTAAATATGATAGTGGAATGCAAGATAACACAATACAATACAATATAATTGGAATTGAAGCTAATAAATCAAATAAATGAGAGAGAGTTTCCAGAACTGAAGACATTACTCTAATGCTGAAGGCAAGATGGCTAGGGAGCACACACCTCAGAGAAAAGCAGAAAAAGAAGGGGCAGTCTCACGTCTCCTGAGCAGTTTTACCTTTCCTTCTAAATGGAAAACAGAAGTGGAACAGTGAAGTGTTTTGAGAGATGTGGGTTGTCTTCACTTTCGTGAAAGGTACTGTGGAAGTATTGGTAATCCAAGGAACTGGAGCTTTAAGTATTTAACTCCCAGGCCTCTACATGATGTTATAATGTGGAATACCAATAACAAAGATCATAAAACCGTGATATTGCTTAAGTCCATATTGGTTTTCTGTATTTTTTTTTCTCTCCACCTTCATCTCTTACGAAATGGGAATGAAAATCCAGTTCTGTCCTAAATTTGCCATTTGATAAATCTGTGATACTTCTTGCTGTGGTAGTCTGAACTTCTGAGGAGCAGTAGCTGTATTTCATCAGCCTTTTATTCTACAAATCCTACCAGAATAGTCCCCACATGCAACTGGTGCCTTGAAATGACAGGAGGAAGTTTAATAGAAAGTATGCCTATCAAAATTATGAGGTAGATACATAGGCATGGAAGTGGTGCAGACACGTCTCCTAGTCCTGCTTAGTTGCTATGTACCCCCTGCTTTACATGTCTTGTTGACCATCAGCAGGACACAACACATATGGACAGGCAGGCTACTGCAGTAGGTGCCCTCACCTGACATTTCAGCACAGCCACAGTGTGAGAGGAGTGGTTGCTTGGTACAGAAGCAATTGCTGGCCATCAAAAATAAGGATATATACTGACATATGGGAAGTGCAAATTTCATATTGGAACAGTCATTTAACCAATACAGCCCCTTAAAAAAGCTTTTCAGAAAATAATTTATTTCTCAGAGAAAAAGAAGAAATAAATAAATAAATAAGAAAGCAAAACAGCCTTATGCACGATAGCATAACTTCTTCTTAACCTAAAATTACAACAGGAATGTTAGGCTT